CACTGATATCCATAAGTGTGTTTCAAACAGCACAGGTAAAGCAGCAGCATGCCATGAGCAGTACAGTGGTTTTCAAGCAATGCTCCTTTCTGTCGTGGAAAAAAAACATCTTGTGCTATACACATGTACTCAATTTAGTTGTGATAGACTCGGCAGACATATGTGATGCAACAATATCATTATTGAGAAAAGCCTCAGATTTCTTCAAAAGTTCCTAGAAGTAAATATATATCTGGAAAAGGAAACTGAGGGCAAGTTAGGAGCAGACAAATTGAACAGAATTAAACTGAAATAAGTTGATCAGGAAAATAAAGTTCAATTATCAACTGTGTTCGAGACCACTCCAATACTGTTTTCCCAGATCTGATTAAGTGTCTGGTTATATTGCAGCATTCAAAGTCACATAATGCTCTCAGAAAAACAGAAGCTAGAGGGCCTTCTAAGGTATCAAATAATTTTGACTACCCACACATTCATGTCCATTTTCCATCATATCACATTTGTATCAGCACACCCTTAATCAAGTGGACTTGATTTAGTTCAGGCTTGGAGGCAAATAAAAGAGTGTACATTTCAATTGAGAGCACTGAGGGATGACATACAAAGTATTGTAATTAGAACAGACAAATGAATGAAATTGTGTGCAATATTGATTGGTAAGATGCGAGATGTTCAGAAATGTGATGAAGTCAAGGTGTTTGGCTAAACTGCATTCTAGAGGAAGAGAAAGGGAAGAGCTAAGTGTAATGAAACAAGATCTGCAGAAGGTGATACAACTACATCACCTATAACTACATACAGGATTGATACTTTCAACATGATATTTGATCAAGCACTAGAAAATCTGTCGAGACAATTTGTAGAACATGGTCAACTGTATGCTGACATGCAGTGTTTTGATCCAAAGAGGTTTGCTGACATACAGAAAAAGGGTCTGCCTGCTGGATCACTGAATCAGAGAGATCAACTCATGCCACATTTAGATCTTACAAAAGTAAGGTCTGAACTGGAACATTTTGCAAGTGTGTATTCAACACAAAGCTCACCTCTTTACTGTCTTTCTTAGGCCTTAGCATAATATTTGATACCCACTCTGTCCCTTCTTTTCATTCCCTCATGTAGCATTTTATCTGGTTCTTGCTTGGCAGCTTCCATCATGGCATATGGAATGTACCATATTCCATGAACAGGAGTTAAGAATAAAGAAAAGTAAATTAATTAATATATTCTAATCAGGATTGCTTAAACAAAATAGTGCATTTTACTTATTATTATTATTATTCAAGTTATGAGTGTTAAGTGTTTTGTAATACCACAGACTAAGATATCAAGTTATGTTTTAGTACAATACCAAATTCTTCTGTCTGACACTCTGAAGCTTGTAACACATGATCATCATGGAAGGGCACACTATGAGACCATGTAGATCTTGTGGAAGGGAGAAAGAAGCTGGAGTCAAGAAGAGGACACAGCATAGACTAGATGATGTACTTTCTTAAACCAAGAGGTTTTTGCCAGTTGTGGAAAGAGCCAAGTTCAAGTTACCCATCCATCCCTTTAACTGAGAGGTTAATAGCCAGATGAGGAACTTCAAGTTGCTGCTATGTAGCCTCTATTGATTACCTCTTCTGTGGAGGAGCATAAGGTGACAGAGAAAAATCATGCTGAGGTGGCCTCTATATCACTCCAATACACCAACTAGCCAGCTCAGAGACTGGTTTGAGTGATGTGGCTGAGGAGAGTGATGAGATGCAGGTGGTGGATGAAGTTGGCCACAAAGTGCTAAGATACCATAAGGTGGAACATCCAACATCTTGCTTCGATCCAATAATCTTTAGGCAGTCAGGAGTCTTCCCAACTGACAACGGATAATGATGAGGCTTTGAGATTAAGTGATAATGATACACATCCTCATGTATCATAGCATTCTGCTCTACACTTCTTCTAAGAATGCATGCATTTATGGACTTTTTGGAGGAAGATGAGAGCATCTCATAAACACCAACAACATCTCAGTGGTAAGAAATCCAGTAACCATCATTTAGTTATGATGGTGATGTGAAAGTGGTGAATCTCCAAGTGTTTAATATAGAACTAAGTGATCCATAATGCCAAATGGAAAGGTCAAAGTTTAGGGTCACATAAAAAAATAGCTACATAATAGATGATCTACAGAAGTTGCATTGCTGGTGATTGTTGAACCATGCCTTACAGAAGGAGAAGAAATTAACAGTAGTAGAAATTTCAGCTGTGGAAACTGCTCCAAGACAACCTCCAGGGTTTGTGACAGCCACTGTGGTTCCAGATGAGACAAAAATGCTTCCAAGGTCTACTTGTCATGGCTGCACAGCAACAGCAGTGGGAGTCCAAAATGTACCAAAAGTACAGGGGGAAGGAGCTCTGCTTCAAGACAGTCTGAATGGTACTTGTGCTTAACAATCCTAATATGTTAGCAAAATAAGGAAGAATGATGACAAGTTATAGTTGCAGCAGCTCCAGCTAGTATAACCCTTTATGGACCAGAGGGTTATCACCAATATTCCTTATTCTGTTTGTTATTATAATGGTAATCCTTGTATGAACTTTCTATACAGTATCTTGTTTCTGTCATACTTTTTCATGTTGTAAAGTGTCAATACTTGTAGTTTAACAGCTTTAGAAAACAAAAGTTTCTATTTTTATTATTGATCAGAAAATTCCATTTTATGCATCTCGCCAGTTTTAACTCATTTGATACCTATTAATTAATTTATTTCAATATTTTATTTTAGTCACTGAAGCAGTAAACTTCCCATTAATAAGTCATATAAACACTACATGAATGCTAGATTTATTAGTTAACTACAACCTCACCTTTACCTTTGGTCAGGCATCATAGCATTGGTAAAGATCAATGTTTATCTAATAAATACTAAAGAAATTCATGAATTTGTGTTGCTTAAATACAACAAACCTTAAGAATATCAAAAAAAAGTAAAAATAAAATCTGTAAGATCTGTGGTTCATAACTAAGTGTTCAAAATATTATGTTAAGATCTACCTTGCCAATATGTTGACAAATCACAAGTTACTGTTAAAACCACTTTATTTCTCTTTATTTTAAATGACAGTTAGATAAGTACCTCCTCTATCTGCTGCTCTTAGCTTTAGGCTCTATCTATTTTCACATCTGAGCTACATTATGAATGCTTACACTCCCACTATCACACACAAAAATGAAATACTATTAGTAATGAAATCACTGACAGATAAAGAAAATGTGAAAACAGGATATAGGTCATTATGATTCCAGGGAATGATAATTTTTTTTTTGTTCTTTTATTATTTACTATTGTGGAATACACTAAATATATTTTTCAATAATCATTGACTTAGTGTCACTTAGTTTGTTCTTTTACATGGACACCAAGCAGAGATTCTTGTGGCCACCAGAAGTGCAAGAATCTTACTCAACCTTATTTATCAGGTGCTTCAAGAAGCTACCATTTTAGCCAGTTAACACAAACTTAATTCTGTCAAATAAGAGTGGAAATGCTAATGTCTAAACTGACTAAGACTAATCTGTACTTTTTATGGATGCAGAAATGTCAACATGCATTCTGATCCATGAAGCTTGTTTTGGTTGAAGTACCAATGCTGGCTTATCTTTGTCAGGTTTACCCATTTATCTTTGATGTAGGTAATACCAATACTGGAATTTGAGCAATTTTGTTACATGTACAGAACTGTACGGAGAGTATAATAGTGTAACACATAAAAAGAAGAAACTGCTTGTAGTTGTAGTACCTGTCAAACATTACTGCTACTATTTGTATGTTAAAAGAGTTCACCATGTGTTACTCAAATTGGCTGATAAACTTCAAAAATCCTGTACACATGCAAATGAAGCATCTTGCCAGCCTAGATGATCATGCATATTTTTATAATAAAAACGACATGGATACTAAACAGTTGGCAAGGCTATTTCAGCAGTATTGATGATGAATCATATACAAGGTGATACTCCTTTTGGATGCCACATGTGACCAGATTGGAACTTCGAGAAAAGTAGCTGAAAGATCTAGACTGAATCTGGCTTCTACTAGTCATTTAGCAATGTCACAAACTGGCAAATGTAGTACTAATGTGTATGACATATGGCACTTGTATGGTGAGTTATGAGAGCAGAATAGTATGTTTCATCATTGTTTTGTATGACCGAGATGTGGTAGCCAACATAAGATGAAGCTGTTGATTCTCAAAGTTACTGTTTAAGTTTACATAACGGAAGGAGTAAAGGACACCAAAGAGTGTTGAGCACTTTTGCAAATGCATAGAAATGGTGTGTGTATGTATCCACATAAAAATGTTGGATGATGGTGTAGACATTGTACCATGTGTTGCCCAGAGGAAAAACTGATCATATCAGGGAAAACTCCAGGAGTGTTGCTGTTCTTCTCTTGAGAGAATCTCCTTGATATAATAGTCTTCTGCCTAAAACCAAGACAGGTATTTGGTGTGTGTTGTAAATTACAGATTACTTTACAATGGTTAATATGTTTATCCCTCTCAGTCTACCATATGTGTATTTTTATGTGACTAACTCTGAGGCCCAGCATGGCTAGGTGGTTAGGGCACTTGACTCGCAATCTGAGGTTTACAGGTTAAAATCCCCGTTCCACCAAACATGCTTGCCTTTTCAGCCATGGGGGCATTATAATGTAATGATCAATCCCACTATTCGTTGGTAAAAGAGTAGCCCAAGAGTTGGTAGTGGGTGGTGATGACTAGCTGCCTTCCCTCTAGTCTTACACTGCTATATTAGGGACGGCTAGCACAGATAACCCTTGTGTAGCTTTGAGCAAAATTCAACATAAACAACCCAACTGTGACCTACCTATGATCGTTTGACTCTGAGAGCTTCTGCAAGAACTTCTTGTTGCAGTAAACAAGTAATAAATAAATATAATTAACTTAGTTATATGAACTTATAAGTGAAAGGAAATACAAATGCAATAAGATAATAGGATGTCAGTACACTATACATCAAAACCTTTATTGATGGCTTCAACCATATATACTATTTGTTAAGAATAGAGTACCATAAATTTTACACATTTACAACAATAGTATTTATCTTGCATGAAGAATTCTAGAAAATTTAGCATCTTTGGCATAATTAGATACTGGTGCTAAACTTTTGGAATTCTTTCCAAACTTTGTCTGCTCAGGTTTAGTTTTCTTGAGACTTTTAATTTTTCTGGTTTGAAGTTTACCGAAATCTTGTCTCTTCATATGAATCCTTCCCACTGTGGATCCTAAGGCAGTTTGTTTGACATTTTTCTTTTTCTTTGGCTGAAAGACAATACATTAATAGACATGAGGTTTCAAACCTAAAGATTTAATGAAATGACTAATTATAAAGAATGTGAAGAAAACATATCTATAGTCAAGTGTGGTTTTAATCATTCATGCTAGTCCTCAAGGATCTCAATTTCTCTGCCAGGTTAAGAATTTTAATATTACTGCAATAAGTGAAGATGTGGATGATGCTACAATACTTTCTTGATGTTAACCCTCTCAAAACAGGCGCGGCTGAATCGCCCGAGTTTGTGACCCCAAATTGATCTTTAGGAGTTTCCAAGCTTTCAGTACACATTACAAGTCTCTTGTAGACAAAAATCAGAATTTTTAATGAAGCATTTTTAATAAAAATTTCTCCATGAATATATGGAGTCAAAGTATTGACTGCTTCAGGTGCAAAGTGATTATAATGTTAAGATTAAAAATACTTTTGTTCATCTAAAAAATGTCAGATTTCATTTGCATAATCTCTAAATCTTCATAAATGAATTTTAAACTTTTTTTTCACTTTATATCTTATTTTCTCTACCCTAACTCTGTACTAGGTTGGTCCATTTGACTGACCTTATATATATCAAACAAAAACGAAATAAATCTGAATTACCTATTTTTTCTTTCTAGAATGACTTCAGAATGTAATACGAAACTAAATTTGTTGATACTAAGCCGCTTAACGCTTGTAAAAGTATACAACCGTTTCTACTTAAATTTGATTGATTTATTGCCCTTTGAACCTTGTCTTAACTAATAATCCCACCAAACAATTTGTAAATCACTCTGTGAATGTGTAGCTTAAGTTATTCTGTTGAAATATATAATACCCTGCTTGCAAACATACTTCCTTACTACTGAGGGGAGTTGTAAATAAATCAAGAAAGAAGGGAGACATAGAGAGCAAATGTTACAATTCTCATACTAGGGTGAAATTGGGGATTTTTTAAAAATATTTTCTTATATAACTAAGACCTTAAAAACCTATATAACATTAAAATTTGTTTTATTAACTATATTTTGATGCCAAGTTTATTTGTATACAGTGACAACAAAGTAGTGTAATTAAATTTTGAATGTAACATGCAGAAAAGGGTACTCATAATGAAAGAGTTAAATTCATTTGAAGAAAGGTTAACAAACAACTAAAGTGGATCAAGAAAGAAAAATAACCTCATTATAGTAAATCAAATATTTAACGATTCTTTATCAACTTGTGTTTACAGAAGATACAATATCAATAAAACTTTACAGCTCACTATAAAGATTCATTTACCTATAGTAGTTTTTTTTTAAACTCACAGTGTCTTGTTTTTAAATATTTTATAACAGTGGTTATTACATATCACTAAACAGGGATGAGGACAATCAAAATGTATGGTGTTATCAAGTCAGTTTTACTTACCTTGAGAACTGACGGTTGTTTCTTTGCTAACTTGAACATGTCTTCTGATGCAAGTTTAGTGCGTCTAACAGAAAGATTCATACGAGGTCCCATTTCTACAAGCTCAATTCGTGGGATCTTTGTACCTGATTTTTTCATTAATATTCTACCCAGGTAAGCAATAACATGAATAAAAGTTTAAATACTGTGGGGTATACAGTCCATATTCATAACATTATTACAGATATTAATATTTTCTTAAGATAATTTTGAAATTGTAAATACAAATGGTTATAAATTTTCTTTCTGTGGACCATGATTCAAGGATGGCTCTATTTATCTTAATTCTTTCCTACTTAGTGTAGGAAACATCTCACAAAATGGCTACTTCATACAAATATTACATGCTGTAAACTTAGATTGTTTAGTTATCATAACAATTTTTACTCGGATTATATAAATATTCTTTAAAATACAGAAACCCTTTATATATTATTTTATTTCAAGATTGTTTCTTAGAAAATATAATATGTAAAGCTAAAAACATCTTTTTCATTCAACTTAAGTGTTAAATAAACACATTTCATGAATTTAAAATAAATAGGTAAAATTATTTAGAAATTAAATTCAGTTTATATAATTGATGAGAATGAATTATTTAAAACAAGGCTATTCCCTACTTTAAAACTAAGTTAAGCAAACAGGTAAACATTATCCTTAATTACTAGTGTGCTACGTTATTTCAAAAGAAAAAAATGTAGAATTACCTATAATTACGCCAGTAAATCATGTCTTCAACAGCAATGAATATTATCACATGTTCTAAGCCTTGCAAACGAACACGGCTGATCTCTTGTCCTCGAAAAAAATCTGAAATGCATTCAGTAAATAATACATCCAAATTTCAATCCTAAAACTGATAATAGAAAAGAAACATTATGTAATAATTAATTTTCCCATGAAATCACCATTTCTTAAATGGATATGACAAGCACATAAAAATCGCATTGTAAAAGACACATCAAGGGACATTATTCTTATTAGTTTACAGGTATGAATGCAATTCCAAATAATCTTGTTTTTTTTGTAATTTCAAATTAATATGAATTCAATCTACTCTGGGGGAATTGCCTGAAAGGAGGAGGGAGACTATTAATTTTAACTGCTAACCAATAAACTGAAATTATACCCACTAGTCTGATGCAACAGCAGTGAAGTTTCACAGTGGAGGAAAAAAAATTACAATTTCTCAAGCTTTCCATAATTTTAAAAAGTGTGAAAAATGTTAAGTTCATTAACATTTTTAGCAAGTTTCAAAAACTAATAAGAGTTTTGACTTAGTATTTTTGTTTTGGTTATACATGTTCATTTATATGTACTAAAATTATAAAAAGTAATCATTCTAGTAAAATGAATAAATGATTGAATCAAATATTCTAACTGCAGTATTAACAGTAATTGGTATCATGCTTTTCAAAAATAATTATTTTAAAGGGAGGCAAAGGGATTCTTGAATTTCAAAACACATAGATCAAGAAATCAAGTAATTTGGGTTTTGAGAGAGACAGCAGCTTACAAAAAAAAAAAAAAAAAGATTTCATTTTCAGGTTACCTCAACATTTCAATTTTGTATTGCAAAAAGTTCAAGCTCATTTATGTATCCTTATTATGACACCATTCATACCTAAAAATAAGTTTTTCAGTCTTTGATAATCTGGCTCAGTTTCAAAAGTTTCTCCTGCAAACAACAAGACTGGTTTGGTTCCTACAGGAATTTTTGGACCCTAAAGGTATTAGAAAAAACTTTATAAGAAATAAATAATACAACTGTTAAAATATTTGATGAAGCATCAGTTACTTGTTTTGAAAGTTAAAAACAAACTTTCTGATTATATCAAAACCTTAACAGCTATTAAAAGAGAAAAAATTTTAAAATACATTTCTAATCAAGGAAGATTATCCGGAAAAGCAAATTCAAAATGAATAACTCTTACATCCTGAAGGTCTAAAAACTGTAATCATAAAATCAGAAGAACCAAAAATAAACACCATATTATTATTATTAATGTTTTTATATCATTGAGGGCTTTCAAAACTGAGACATCACAACATAAAATTGAAAACACATAACTCTAAAGACCACAAAAACTGAAAAATATTTGTATATATAAAATTACTATACATTTCAGTTTTATCCTATCTTAGTGTATGGTAATAACACAAACTTCAGTGCCAAATTTAAACTGACATATTCCAAATATCTTCCTATCCAATAAGTATGTAGTCAAAATGTTGACTGTTTAACATCCTCATTTAAGATCCTTCATTTATATCACAGTTCAGGTGCTAGCTCTTTG